ACGACCGCAGCGGTGCTTCATCTTCCCGATCAAGGCGCGGAGAGGATCCGCGTATCGCTCAAATGCAGCGGGAGATGGAGGAGCAGCAGCGGGCCTTGGCTGAGCAGCAGCGCACCTTGGAGGAGCAACGCAAAAAAGAAGAAGAAACAAGGGCCCGGCTGGAAGAGATGGAACGGATCCTCAGCGCCGGAATTCGGAATCAGCCTCAGCCTCAGCCGTATGTACTGCACCCTGAGCAGACACCTCAAGTTCCGCACATGGGCGGTTATTTCCGTACCAACTCTACTACCGGGTTGCCTTCATTTGGTTCTATTCAGGATATCAATTTTCACAACCTGTTTCAAACATCTGGAGGCAGCCAAGCAGGTGGCAGTCGCGGAGGTGGCAGTCGCGGAGGTGGCAGTCGCGGAGGAGGCAGTCGCGGTGGCAATCGAGAAGGCCAAGCTGGAGACAACCGAGAAGATGAGACCGAAGAAGATTATCTATATGATGATTCTAGATATTATCATAATGGTAGCCGGAGGAGCTTGTAAATGATATACATTTTTATTTGAACATTGTTTATTTACTATAATTCTATTGTGCTTATTATTACTTTTATTTCAGTCTGTTTGGTTATGAAATGTGTGTTCTAGTAGTCTGTTTATTACTTTTATTCTACAAATATTTTTTAAAATAAACTTTTCTAAAGAAAAATTAAAAATAAATTTTTTTTTTTTATAAAACAAAAAAACTTTTTTTTTAAAAATAAAAAACTTTAGTCACGGATCCGAGCCGTGACTAAATTCTAGACCGATTTTTTAAAAAGTTATTTTACAAATTTAATTTTTTTTAAAAAAATAAAAAAGTAGTCACGGATCAAGTCCGTGACTAAAATTTGAAATTTGAAAATTTAAACCGTAACATTTGGCGGTTCATTTTTTAAAATTTGAAAGTTTAGTCACGGATTGGTCCGTGACTATATTTAGTCACGGAAAAGGCCGTGACTAAGTCGCCGGTGTGGTTATTCCGGTGACAAGTTAGTCACGGATACGGTCCGTGACTAAGCCGTGACTACGCTAAGTCACGGATAAAATGACCGTGACTAGAATTAGTCACGCCCAAACAGTCACGGATTTAGTCACGGACAAAGTCCGTGACTAGCAGAGTTAGTCACGGATTTTTTATACTACGGTCCGTGACTAAATCCGTGACTAACTCCGTGTTTTTTGTAGTGGTGATTAGCCAGGATATTGTGACCGTTTGGATAATAGCGTTTCCGTCAATCCGTCGAATAAGTTGAACTACAAACCGCTGCAAAATGCACCGTGTAGCACTCTACCCGCTGAAAAACAAACGGAGCCATTGATGGGTTCGATAACTAATAAAGTTGTTTCCATTTTTGAATGAATGATATTTTAATGCATAAACATGAGGGTATTTAGGATGCTTTTATTTTAACGGTTTTCACTCCCAGATCAGATCAAACTTAAACAGATCAGATCAGATCAGACCTGATTTCCATAGTTATAAAAATACACAGAGACCAGATATTTACCACACCAGGTCAGTTCAGATCAGACCAGACCATACTTAAACAAGCTAGGTCAGATCAGCAAATTTCAGTCCAAGTAGAAACATTTTTACTATTAAATAAAGAACATGACGGTATATTTTTTAGCATAAAAGAGCAGCCGTTATACTAAAAAAAAAAAAAGACAACCTTCAGACAGAATTTACAGATTCAATCGTGAACCCTAGGAGTAGACTTAGAGTCAGTCACCTCATACAAAGCAACATAACTCGCTAAACCTGAAACGGACAAATTTAGGTCTAAAAAGAACAGAATTGAAACCCTGCCTATCAAAAGAACTCCAAAAATCCAAACATTCAAACCAAATCTACTCGGGCTACAAGAGAAACAATTGCTACTATAGATAAAATAATACTTAAATAAAATCTTTCCACAAAGATTTTCCATAGAGGTGGTTCCTGAGGACGACGAACTCTTGCTATATGGGTGAATACCGGTCAACTCCACAGTCGGAATGACTGACAAAGGTTTCAAGATCCAGCCTCGATACAACCTCCCAGTCACACATCATTCATCTGTCATTGTTATCTCCTCCGATGTAGTTGCAATCCCAAACGTTAGAACACTCAAAATCAGTATAGTCTGCCGCTCCAACCTCGTATTGATAGGGCGGCGGAAAATCTCAACCCCTACAAAGAGGGGAGACAGTCGCTAGGGTTTTTAGAGAAGAGAGTAAAAAACATGACGGTATTTAAAAATGATATTGTACATTTGTACATTGTAAATATTGTATAACATGACATAAAATGTACTATTTGTATTAAATATTGTATACTTTGTAATGGGTGTTTGGCAGATATAATCTCAACCTTTTAGTTTGGTTGTACATTTGGCAGAATGATTTTTAGGAGGTCTTTTAAAACTTTAAAGTCTCTTGAAAACTATGATGAGTGATTTCCGATAGAAAGTAAGTAGCTTCTAACATTAATTAGTAACAACGTGTTATATCAAATAGAACAAATCAACAAACGTTTTTATCAAACTATTACAATTTGTTTTATTTTAGGATCTTTTCGATAACTAAAAGTTAACACTTACTTCGTATTAGAGACCTCATAGAAGTATCTTCTTAGATATTCCCTTCGTCCTTAAATAAAAGTCTCTCTTTCCTTTTCGGATCATCCCTAAATAAAAGTCATCTTTTCTAAAAAAAAGTCATCTTTTCTTTTTTGGTAACAAAACAATGCAAAACAATGATAAACGGGTCCAAACAGTACCGAACAATCTAAATTTCTTAAAATGTGTGCAAAATTAATAGGGACAGAAAGAGCATAATCACTAGAATCACTCTTAAGATCACAATCTCCTTCCCACGACATTTGCATTACCAACTCCTATAATCAAGGTACAAGAAGAACGAGACATTTGTATGACTAGACATGACCATCAAGCACTATAACTTGTATTTTAGGCTTTGTTTGCAATCACTTCTGCTTAAATAAAAGCACTTTTGGGGAAAAAGTGATTAGTAGTAAAAGTTGGTAGTGTTTGGTAAAATAAGTGCTTTTTGTGTAATAGAAAAAGTAAAAAGTAAATTCTACACGGAAGCCGAGAAAGTAAAAGTTGGTAGTGTTTGGTAAAATAAGTGTTTTTTTCTTAAAAAAAGTTAAAAGCACTTTTTTTAATGGGTTGCAAACAGACATTTGGCAGAATGATTTTTAGGAGGTCTTTTAAAACTTTAAAGTCTCTTGAAAACTATGATGAGTGATTTCCGATAGAAAGTAAGTAGCTTCTAACATTAATTAGTAACAACGTGTTATATCAAATAGAACAAATCAACAAACGTTTTTATCAAACTATTACAATTTGTTTTATTTTAGGATCTTTTCGATAACTAAAAGTTAACACTTACTTCGTATTAGAGACCTCATAGAAGTATCTTCTTAGATATTCCCTTCGTCCTTAAATAAAAGTCTCTCTTTCCTTTTCGGATCATCCCTAAATAAAAGTCATCTTTTCTAAAAAAAAGTCATCTTTTCTTTTTTGGTAACAAAACAATGCAAAACAATGATAAATAAGCACTTCGGATATGCATACGCTGGCAAACCAGGCCCTGACAATCTATCGGTGAATGATGGAAACCACATACTTTTAATACGGAGTATTAGTTTAAAGATCATTCAGATTCGGAGAGAGTAGCTTTTAATAGGGGTGGTTCGGTATGGTATACCTTATATTTTTTCTCATACCTTTGCCATACCAAAACTTTCGGTATGCAAAATTTGCATACCTTTTACCTTACCGAAGTTTCGGTATACCGCATTTCGGTATACCTAAGTTTCGGTTCGGTAACGGTACGGTATCGGTAAATTACCGTAGTGCATGTCTCCCAAAACAAAAAATTATCATATACTAACGAAATATACTAAATCGTTATTACTAGCGACATATTAAATCTATTATTAAAATGTTACGAAATACAATTAATAATCTATTGATGTCAATTCAATATTGAACAATAATTATTATTAGTATATTTAAGCAGTTCAACATACCACATATTAAAAAGTAACATATTCTCCTAAAATAACTTGAACAATATAGATATAATTAAATCAATAGTGATCTCTAACAAAAATAAATAAAACTATTCAAACAACATGGATATAAAATCATTTATAATTTTTTAAAAATTGAATAAGACTTACGGACAAAGTTGTGTGTCTCGACTCACTGAATCCCTATGTAGATACACTTGTCACATAAGTGTATCTATCTTCACTCGTCAGCTACTTAGCGGCCCAACCATCACGACTTGCAAGCTCTTGGAACAAGATGGACTTGTTTCTTGACATTTGTACATTACTCATTAGTTATTTAAGGTTAGCGTGGTAGAAGCCTATAAGGTCATAGTGGGTTTGAGAAATTGGACCTTTATTTTTGTATTTTTGTATTTGTAACCAACTTAAGTATTAATTTTGGGCTTCAAAATTGTAATGAATTTCTACAATATATTAGAATTAAAAGTAATTGTGGAGTAGGGAGTCGGTACGGTATTATACCGGTATACCGCGGTATTTGAAAACATTTATCGTTACCGTACCGGTACGGTATCATATCGTACCGAAAATGACGGTATACCAATATTTCGGTATTTTCCGGTATTTTTCGGTACGGTAAGTGCGGTATACCGATATTTCGATATTTTTGCCCACCCCTAGCTTTTAATATGCATTCTGCAATAATAAAAGTTAAAAATTACTTTTTTGATTATATTAGTTTAAATTACCCTAGAGAATCACATGAGCCATTTTTTAATTTAGGGTTTTCTTAAATTTATTTATAAGATATATTTAAATTATAATTGTTTCATATTTCAATAAATTCAGCCAATTAAATCACTTTGGCCAAAATTTTACCAATTTCGTTTGCATTTTCACGTTATCAAGCATATAAGATTAAAAAAAAAAAAGTTGGCATTTTCTTTCAATTCCAAAGCATTTTCGGGGATCCAACATAATTTAAAATTAAAAATAAATGCATTGAGAGAATGAGTAAAAGGTGAAACTAAAACTTGAAGTGCTTCTTTTAATCATCAGAAGTGATATTCTTCTCTTACATTACAAGGGGTTTGCATTCTAACACCAGTAAAGCTACTCCTTGATGCCATGATGTCATTCAGAGACATCCTCTTCTTTGTGGGTCCCACCGCGGCTTCCGGCCTCTGCCTCGGAGCGCTATGTGACCTCAGCTTAGCCTGAAACGATTGCGTGTTCGCCATGTAACTCGGGAAGTGGTCCCCACACACGCTCTTGGGCGGTGTGGGCGGTGCGTTCCGCCTGCCTGGTGCCCGAGGAGTGTTTTGGGCAGTATGAAACTTAGCCCCCATGTCTTCACCTAGAAAACTCCAGTCATAATCAGGGAGGGATACTCTGCCTGGCGCTGGACATGAGGGTGCGTGGTAATAATAGGGGTCATCCCCACATTCAGACATGCAAGCGTTGCGGGTCTTTGATTTTAGCTTGAAAGTGTCAATCTCCACAATCTTAGGGCTTTCGTCCAATCCGCCATTGAATGAGGTATCATATGAAGAAGCAGAAAGCCTCCTACTATGGAAGGCACTTCTGCACTCATCATATCTCTCCTGCAACAGAAACATGAATGCATTTGCATGAGTTAATGTTATAGTGTGTGTTTGGTTACCACTTTTCCCCAGCCTATCAGCCATATAATCTTTTACCATATACTAGGTGTGGAAGAAAGTCCTGGTCCGGTTCTAGACCATGAGACCAGCCAGATCCAGGTCCTTGAAAATGTGCAATCGGAACCATAGCCAAGGATACCCGATCCAGTTGATTCTTGGGTTAGTTCCAGCCTAGCTCTTGGGTGAATTCGGTACCGGCTTTAAGCCTTTTAAGAAATGGGTATCAGAATTGGTCAGGTCCTATTTTGAAGGAACCGAACAGAATTTGGACCGGTTCCAAGTTCAGGTCCGGAACCATTTTTCGTTTCGGAATCATTGGAAATAACAAACTGTTTCAGGAAGCAGGACCAGTCTACCCTTATTGAGCACTAAAGGCTAGTTTGGTAATGGTTATGGGCTAAATTGGTGAGTTCTAAAAAGAGATTATTTACTATAGCCAAATAATTTAAAAGCTACTAATTGAGCCTAACTTATTTGGCTGTGAGTGAGCACCGAATGGACTAGTTATTATGAAATCCCAAACAAGAATTCTTACAATGGACTTCCTGGCGCGTGTTTCAGGCGGGAGTCTGTCAACATTCACGGAACGGCGGGCTCTTCGAGAACGGGCAGCGGATTGGGCTCTAATGAGAGCTTGCATACTGTGAAGAGTGGCTGCTGTTCTTTTCCTTACCAGGTAACCCCTAACCAGAGCCTGTATTTTCACTAGTCCCTTGAGAGCCCTCAGAGCCCTTTTAGCCTGTAAAAGGGAAAAAAGTAATCAGATCTTGTCACCCAACAGAGGAGTGGGGTTCAAGAAACACTGTTTGGTCTATCTAAATTGACAAAATAGCGAAATTCAGGAATTTATAACAGTAACCAGGAGTCCAGGATCATCATTGGCCAATCCAACATAACATTTGAAGACTAACTGCCACTTCAAAATGGCAAGAAAAGACTAATTGCTCTTTTTGAAACTGTGCACTTCTCCCATTATAGAAAATACACAGTACATGGTACTTTAAATCATTAATATGTGTATTCATGTTTATAATACTGTTTTTACCTTGACTTTAGAAACATTAATATACATTTTCATGTTAGCGCTCCCTATATTCTTATACAAGTTTTCATTAATGTAAAAAGATAGTAAAATGACTAAGTTGGTCGCCTTATTTATTTCACTCTTGCATGTATACTTATATATTATATATATTGACTTCAATGTGGGTATGTGGTCATTTAAAACATAATTACTTGCCACCTTAAATATACTGAATTCAGTGTGGGGATGCGGTCATTTATATCAATATATGCTATTTTCAGTACAATATATCCTTAAAATATGTTTGGTCCTGAAATATTATTGGAAAATGAAATAGAATGTTAAGGAAATTTATTTGCTTTGGTTTGGTTTTACCTTAGGAAATTTATAGCAATAAAATACGATTACTCGATAAGCTTTAAAGTTTTTCTTTTTTGCAGAAATAAATTAATAAAATGAGTATCAAGTTTTCAGCACACATCAGAAATAAATTCATTGAGTGGTAGCCTAGCTTTTAAAATCCCAATACTTATTGGTGTGAACTTTCCTCTATGTTATCCTGCCTTTTTTCTTTCCATAGTGTTTTCCTCATTTGAACTGAACCCTTTATGGACAAGTAATTAGTGTATGTTTGGTGCAAGTGTGCAACCATATGGGGGGAATAGTCTTTAGTTATTTTTAGCATTTAATAATTGAATTTGTTTTTGAAACCAAAACAGTTAACTATTATTAATTAAATCGTGATGGAGAGCATCCAAAATACATAAAGGCGGATTATTAATCCATAAACTACGATCAAACATAGAAACGGCTGCCCCTGCTAACCGGTGGACAACTCAATTCGCAGACCTCTTATCATAACTAAAAGATATAGGGGGGACTTGATCTTTCGTAGAAATAATATCCCCCACTAAAAGATCGAAACTAGAATGTCCTTCCCCAGAATGAATGCTCGAGATAACTTGGAAAGCATCGGACTCCAACTCAATGTCGTTCCACACTTTTGAAAGAACCCAGCTAAGATTATAGTTATTTGATAAAAGCTAACTGATTGACGTAGTCTTGTTTGGTACAGAGTATAATTTACTCTTGACTGTTTGAAATTGTAAGCAATACTAAAAGTTAAAAAAATCCTCACCTCGCCTTCTCAAAAAAATCTTAAATTCTCAACTCAAATTCCAAAAGAGTATTATACCAAAAGCTATAGGAGTAGATTTTAAATAATACAAAAGGGCAATGTGACTTATGCATACCAAAGATTCACTTAGAAACATTCAGAGTATGTTCACAAATGGCCAATTTGAATCAACTTAAATACCAAGACACCAAACATATTTAAAAAGTTCAACAGTTCAGAAATTGTTTTTAAATGAAAGCAGTTATTTCACAGCAATTGAAAACTGAACTGATGAAATATAATAATAACATTACCAAGACAGGAACAGAATTAAATGCATATGTACTGACTACTGAGACAATAACACAAGCTACTTATTAATGAACTTACCAAGTAGCCCCTGAAAACAGATTGGATTTTGAGAGCAGCCTGATTCTCCCTCCCTAAATTGAACACAGCACCTCTCCCTTGACTGGTAAGTCTGACCACCGCAACAGCCGCCTGAGCTGCTGCCACCGCCGCATCCGCGGCGGCCGCGGTGGCTGCAGCCACAGCAATGGCGTGCTTGTTCTGTTCTGCTCTCAACCAAGAGGAATCCTCCGCATGAACATTATCAGGGGTGTTGGAAAACTTCCTAGACCTCTTTTCCCGGTCTTTCTTCATGCCAAACAAGCCCTTCAACCACCTTATTGCTTTACCCATTTTCTATCTGCAATTAAAGAAAATTCGTGAGAGAGAAGTGTAAAGGTTTTAGCAGAGGTCCTGGCCGACTGAGAGAGAGTTCAGTTTGAATTAGACACTTAGAATCATCACAAGTTGCGAAGCAGATAAGTTATGAGGTAATAAAATGCTAATCTATCACAACCTTAAAATAATGCTCTGAGCTTATGTGGTACAAATAGATTGGATTTCTTTTCTTTTTTCTTTTTTCAATTTCTTTATTCACTGACACAACCTCGTGAACAACTGTGTTACAGGACAAAAGGGAATCATAAATAAATAAACAAATAAAAGACTGAATCTTTTTGAAAAATTTCAACTTAAGGAACAAGAAATTGCAGGAAAATAGCAGTCGAGTCGCAAGAATGAAAAAGAACAAAGATGAGGGTAATCATCATAAATGGGAAAGAATAAAATATTTCATAAAAAAAAATTGAAACTTCCTTTGTTTAACCAATCACAAACTCAACTAACTCAGAAAAAGTGTTTAATCATACATCCCCCCTTACCCTATCCCCCAAACTTATCTTCAGCAGGATCTCTTCCTTTTTGTAATTCAAAAATACATTGGCAAACATATGCCATAAATTGAAAAGTTATAATGTCCCAACAGCAAAAGAAGTAAAAAGATTCAAACTTTAGTAAAAACAACCCTTCTTGAATTCAAAAAAAGAAAATAAAATTGTACCCAATCTGATATTTTTGGAAATATACAGATGCAAACACATGGAACAAAGAAAAGTGACGAACCTCTTTCTTTTCCTCTCTCAAAGCCACGAACTTTATCCAACTATAAAAGAGTCTTTTCTCACACTAACTTTCTGAAGCAGCGTGTACTTAAATCATTAGAAATATTACAAAGCATACACCGCCCCATACCATACTCAGAGCCCCACCAGAGAGGCTTTCCATTTATGTTAATAAAGCCTCTAGACTCAGAATAATCATTAATTAGTCCTTTTTCCAGACTTTTTCAACTTTTTATCATACCATAAATCCAAAAAAGGTTTCCTGTAAAGAAAAAGGAAAAAACTGATGATTCATTTACAGCTAGTGAGCGCCATTAAAGCAGTTACCAGATTAGTGAGTTCGAGTTTTGCTGGCTTCTCTTTGTACCCACACAAAGGAGACGATTATAGAAAGATTTTCAGATTCGGGTTTCCGTATCCTCATTGACCTTCGCTGATTTTCTGTTCAGAAATCTTTGCCATTTCCTACGCACAAAATCTCTCTTGATGGGGAGGTGTGTTTGGGGGCTTTTTCGGCTTGGGGAAAAGATATTCAAATGGCGTAGTGTAGATCTTTGGTGATGATGTATGAATCTATGATGTATATTATGGAAAGAGAAGGACGAAATAGCAATTGTGATATTCTTTCTTCGGTTTTCAAATTTCTTAAGTTTTGGGGTGGAGTGGGAACTTTCATTGGAGTCATCACAGAAGTTTTTTTTTAAATGGAAAACAGAAGGGAAACGCATAAGTTTTGTTTGGTTCGTAGCTCAATAAGGATAGACTTTGGATTAGAAATTAAGAAAAATCTCCATCCTTAATTAGTTTTATAAGGCGGGAAAGTTCTTGAAATACAGGTAATTTTGTTTTTATTTTCGAATTATGACTAACAGCATCTCCAATGGTAAAACGTTAACGGTGCATACGTGGCATGAAAAATAACCAATTAAAAAACAATAAATACAATTTCTCTCTCCTTAGCTTATTTGAAGGATCTTAAACCATTTTGGTAAGTTCTTCTCTGCAATGTCAAGCACAATGTCTAGATGTAGACATTGTGATTGACATTGCAGACAAAAACTTACCATAAACACATAAGACCGTGGAAAGAAGAAGACATATATTGTATTTATTGTTTTTTAATTGGTTATTTCTCATGCCACATATGCGCCATTAACGTTTTAGCATTGGAGATCCTCTAAAATAACAGTATTCATTGTTATTTGAAATAATTATATAAATATAACCAAAATAAAAGTGGTTTACAAAAATATGATTAGTTACTAGAGTAGTAATGAAATCATAGTAATTCATGTTCAAGTTTTGAACTTAAATTACCACAACACTACATTGTAGTAACGAATAGTCATATTTATGTAAATAAGTTTCATTTTGGTAATATTCTTGTAAAAAACCCTATAGTTGACACTATTTTTGAATCATGTCAATAAAAACTTTTAATTTGAGCTGTCAAATAGTTAGAATACTAGATATTAAATAGGGTAATATTTACTATTATTAGCAGGGCCGGTCCTAACCATTTCTGGGCCTATGGGCGGTACGCTATTCTGGACCTATGATCGTATACTTATTTGAAATAAGAATTATAATAAAAATATCCAATGAAGTTCATAAAAAAAGTCAAAAATCACTTTATTATTATTATTTAAGTTACATATTTGGACAAAAGTAACAACACAAGTATCAAATAAAAAGAAAAAACATCAGTAAAAAACATTTCTCGTAGAACAATATGAAGCAAATAATCAATAATAGCTTCATAGGCGACTTTCTTTCTATTAATACATGGCAAACAATAAAATTGTCACATATAACAACACTAAACTTTTTTTTAAAGGAAATATGAAAAAAATGTCACTACATATTGAATTCATAAGTTGAGAATGATTTATTGACCGTTGATGGGAGTCTAAAGTTTGAAGTCTCAAAAGAATGAAGATTTTCAAAGAGACAAAATGTATGGCTGCCAAGAACACTCTCGCAAGAAGACTGCCAATTTGACGTCCTCTAAACTAGTATTTGGAACTCAGATATAGTTTATTGGAATTTGGAAACAAATAAATAATTGGGATGAGATTTGAGAGAGATGAGCTCTAAAATAATTATATAAATTGTTATGTTATAATTAAATGAATAAAAAGCCTTAAAGGCTAAAACGATATAAAGACTACAACAGATCCTACTTAAAATTAATGTATGTATTCTTTTTTTGATGGAGCAACAATTTTATTGTTTTTAAAAACTACAACTCATCCTACTTAATATTAATGTACATATTCTTTTTTTAAACATGGCTCTGTTTAAAAATTTTTATTTACATTTTAAATTTTCAAATTGCCAACAAAATTAAACATTAGACCTAATTAACTGACCTTAAGAATTAACAAAAAGAAGCCTACTAACACTATACATAAAGAAAAAAATTGGGCCTATTTTTTCTTCTATTTTTTGTCGGGCCTAGGGCGGTCGCCCCTCTTGCCCTCCCTCTAGAACCGGCCCTAATTATTAGGGCATCCACATCCATAGATTATTTTGGGATCATTTTGATGATGTGGAAGATTTTTTTTTGAAATCATGGATGAGGAGTTGAGATTATTTTATGAGATTATTTGATAAAATAATCTGGTATCAAATTCTAAAGCTGAATTATTTTGAGATTATTTCCAACTTTTAGGCAATTTTCTAGGCATAATCATAATTGCAAAACCATATTCCAACCAAATGCTACTTGTACGTTATCTTATAAAGGAATTATGCATGTCATTTGTTATTTGAAATTAGTGTATGTATCCTAAAATATCTTGGTAAATTAAGATCATGGTTGAGGAGAAATTTTTTGATTTGGATATTATTTGAGCTTTTCTTATGTGGAAATGACTAAGCCATCAAAAACCGTAAAATTGAGTAGCATCAATGTGGATGCTACTCAACCGTAACACTTCCTTTTTCTATCGTAACAATCCGATTTTGGATTTTTTAGGACAAGTTCCCATGGCCAATTAGCGAATTTGTACACGGTAGTGGTGGAAAGTCTATAAAGTACGTGTAACTAATTACACAAGTTATAATTATAGGTCAAATAGATACTCATTTGGCTCCACACTCCACAGTTGAGCCATTTGTATATCTCGAATCTCGATATTAGAGTATCGTGCGAGTAGTAAATTGGTAAGCCATACCTTTGACGTGACTTTAGTTTAAAAAGGAATTCTCACACACGATTATGAGTTAGTGAAACAATGGTTTGTGTAATTACTGAAACACAATGAACTGAAACGATAAGAGGCAATGCTCAAGCAAAAGTTATAGACTTATGAACATCAAATACAAATAAGAATTTTTGGGTTACGATCCGGGTTTCACTTTTTTTGCAATGAAGTCATTAGGAAACATATTAAAACATGTGCAAGTCCATTTAAAAGCTCAATAAGAAATGGGACGAGGATAGGGGATTTAAAATACATAGAAATAAATAAATAACTGGTAATGGCTAGGGGCTAAATGTCGTTGAACATTTACCGAGTTTTATTAAAAATGAAAATGAAAATGAAAATGAATACATGAAGAGAGGAACTAAGCCAGAACCTCGTCAAGAAGTAAATAGTAAATGAAAAATACATTCATGGGAGAATATAAGAGAAGGCACCCCAAATAAATCCATATAATATGCTTTTTTAGCTCGGGCCGGTAAGTCTGAATGGCAAGTAAAGATTTTCTGTTGGACCGAGATGTGATCCGCCAAAAAATTCGAGCCTCCATAGAGTTGCACTATTCCTATGACTCATACTTACACATGCAAGCATGTTCATATATTTTGTCAAATACTACGTATTAATTTAGAAGTTATTAATATATGTACCAGGAGAGGGTTCTAATGAGAACTCATCTTAAAATGAGAACTTGTTATAATGAGAACTTTTAATCACAAACTTTTATTTAATTCAATCATTGGTACGATGCACATGGGGTACTTTGTGTAATTAATGAAAATTCAAATGGGGTCTTGTTTGTAATTATTGTAGAATTATTACAAATTGCCACCTTATTAATGCTAGTCCTTAATTTCATAAACTAATGGTTTAGATTATTAGAAGTTTTCATTCATAAATGGATTCTCATTTTAGGATGGGTTCTCATTAGAACCCTCCCAATATGTATAAAATCTCATATATAGTGAGAATGAAGAGTATCCAAAGTGAAAATTGTAGATGTTTGTAGGCTCATATGTTTACGGGAAAATTTTGAAAATTGTGAACTCAAGAATTACATTACACTTTTGAGTCGATTTCAATTAGTTTTGATTGGTATGTTGCAATTTTGGTCAATTTTAGCGGGCTTCTGGCTTTTTTTAATTCAACCAATTTTCAAATCCAAAAGCATGAATCGAACTATGCTTGGGGTTAGTTTTACTCACTTTTGTTGGTCTCGTATGTAACTGAGTAATCGTATCAAAAGCGGATATAATCGATCAAAATTTGTAAAATTACATCCATTAAATGTTAATTTGAAATTATTTAGAGGGTGTTTGGTTGACAGCCTATCAACCTTTTTTTGGCCGATTTGACCATGTTTAGCATTTGGCCATATCAATCAGCCAATAATAGTGTTTGGTTAATTGGCTTTTTCAATTTGCCTTTGGTCCCCAACAGCCAAAATCTGAAAACGCCTAACATTGTAGTTAGGGGTGGTTCGGTACGGTATACTAAATATTTTATCACATACCTTTACCATACCGTAAACTTTCGGTATGCAAAAATACATACCGTTACCATACCGAAATTTCGGTATGGTAAGGTACGGTATCAGTAAATTACCATGATTTAATATAACAAATTATTATATGTCAAATGAAATAAAGAAAATCAGTCTTAATAGTGATATACTAAAATCATTAATGAAATTAATTATAAATTAAAATACCAATGAGATAACCTATTTGTGTTCTATTCAATTTTTGACAAAAAATATTATAAATATATATAGATATTTTAACACATGATATATGAAGATAACAACACATTCTGCTAAAATAATTTAAACAACATAAATATAACTAAAATAACACCGATCTCCAACAAAAAGTATAAATAATTCAAGAAACATGGATATAAAGGCATTTATCCTTGAATTAGTGTTGTGTTTCTAGTTATTTTTACAATTTTAAGAAAATTATTGACTTGGAATTACGGTATGACGGTATACCGGTATACCATTTGTTTCCAAAATATATACTGATACCATACCGAAGTAATTCGGTACGGTATCATACCGTACCAAAAGCGTCAGTATACCAAACATTTTGGTAAATTCGGTATTTTTCGATATGGTAAGTCCGGTATACCGAAATTTCGGTATTTTTCGGCACCCCTAATTGTGGTGTTTAATTACTGTCAGCCGTTCCACAAATTTCCTACGGTGCCCACACGCTTTTTCATATCCGCCTTCTTTCCTTCTAAGAGAAAATATTTCCGCCGAGGAATAAAAAACAAACTTGGGAACAAGCCGCACTCTTCTACGTACAGTTTCTTAGTTTCTTCCATCCATGCTCTCTGATTTTGCAAGAAGCAAAGAATGATTTTAACAGGATGATAAGCATTGAAAATTCAAGACATTCGATCCGAGCCAACCTCAAATTAAAGGGAGCAATAATGAAAATAAGACACAAAAATTGAAAACAAAAAAAGCATGCAGATCAGACGGCCATAGAAACCAG